GTCACAGTGAAGACCGTGACTTTGGTTACAACACAAAATCAGATCATGACAGACATAGGACTAGAATCTACCCAGGAGACAGATCCACCTGCCATAGCAGCCACAGCTCGGTCCACAATGACCCTGATCAGTCTGATCATAGGAACGAGAGACACGTGCGGTCAACTATGAAACATCACTGGTATAATAGAAAGAGGTTTCACAGAAGTACTGCAGGTTCACAGACATCGAGCTGCAGCCACAAACACAGCTGTTCTCACACTGACGACTACTTTCAGCCAGGTCAGAGACCAGATAAACACCACGAGCACCATCACAGCGTTCCACATCTATCGAACTGCGATATGACTGAGTGGCAAAATCTGTCCAGACAAAAAAGAAAATCATCTCCCGATGACAGGGCTGAACGGCCTACAAAACGAAATTGTGATCTTTGGTCAGATTGTGGAAAGTGTTGCCACAGAACCTGTGCTGGTCCATCCACCTCAGGCAGCGGTAACAGACAAGAATTTATTCAACCTGACAACGATCAGTTAGTTCCGAGAAGGTCAGACAAGCACCACAACCACCACCATTGTCCAGATCCCTCCTATAGCAGTCTGACCAAGAGACAGATTCAGACTGGACACAATGAGAAAACGAAACCTCAAATAGATGTGCAGCTTACAAAAACCCCCGATGTTCACATTCTTTCCCCAAACAGTGAACCAATCAAGGACAATGTCCTGACATCAATACTTCCAATCAGTCAAGAGTGATGGCTGCCAACCCATTTACCTATTCAAGTGAAACCCATCATTGGTTCTAGGGGGGATTACTTCATTATCATTGTCTTATAAACATAGAAAGGTTAATAGGCCATAACTCATGAAAACTGACTAATTAGGATATGTATTCAATTACTCTCTATATAGGAACTAATGACTGCCTCTATGTGGTTTTTAATGAATGTATTAGACTAATGTTCTTCATTCATATGTCGAAAGGCTTGATGCAAAAGATACTTGAAATCTCCATAAAATACAACAAAAAATAGAAAAACAATTGTGACCATGCCTTACCAGTTCCATTAACCACGTGCAATATGAGAATGTTATTGGAACACTTGGACAGTCAGTCCTAAGCAAACATATATTCAATAAATAAATGAGAGATACCTGAGGTTTATGATCATTCTGTATTTGTTCGATTAAATTACTATCCTGGAATGTACTTTCTAATAAAGCATGTGTTCATGATGCTGCATGTACTTGTATGTTTAAAAAATATTGTAGTTGAATCAGCATAGTGTTTTCTTAATCATGTGTCCTTACTTTGTGATCTTTTAATTTTTTTAAATTGGTCAGTTATGTTTCCCACCAGTTTGAGTGGTGCAATATTCAATTAGCCCTCATTAATACCAGATCCCTCTCCTGCCACTGTATTCAACCACATTTAGATGTCAATTTCTGCCCAAAAACAATCATTCTAGGTTTGAGCTCCTAGCCCAGTGCAGCTATCTACTACCTACCAGGGCAAAACAAAGATTAAAGATTTCATTTGTGAGTTTTCAGTACATGTCACACCTATCTTTGACCTTCCTATGACCTGTGGAGATTATTTAATTGTATAATGTCTGCTGTGCCATCAGATCTGCTTGCCACTGTTCTAAGAGAATTGGATATATTGACTAATCCAGTCAGTGGTTTGTTAGTTTATGTCAACCAACACCTAATCTCACCACACCTGGGTCTTTTTATCACTAGTATATAGTTAAGTGCACTTGGAAAAGTATCTGAGGCTACCATCTCAGATCTTTTCCATACAATGTTTTATTTTTTTAGACACCACTTCCTAAGAGATTCAGAGGTACAGTAGAAGCAGGTGTTTTTGAGGTGAGCATAGCCGAATGACACCACACCCACTCTCAAATAATTTTGTAGAAAGGCTTACTGCTTATTGAAGAGTTTGCAAGAGTCAAGCACAATTTATCGTTTCACTGCTGTGCAGATGATTTACAAATCTATGTATGGGTGAAACAACGTTTTAATTGTATCACAGACACTAGGCAATAAAGTTAAATATAGTTACAACAATAACAATTTTCTTTACTGTAATTAAGATAAAACAGAATAGATTGTTTTGGGCGTTCGGAAATCCACAGCTTTAGAACAACAGTTAAGAATCTGGGGATGATTTCTGACAGTAATCTTAAATTTGAAACACACCATTAAGCCATTGAGTTACCTGATAGTCCCAAGCAGACAAAACAGATTATTGTCACAGCACATCTATCAGAAGTGCCAATAATAAAGTGAAAACACTTTGCTTTTTCATTCAAATGATTACTGATCCAAGGGTTTTTAAATCTTAACCTAAAACTAATTTACCTCGAACTGCTATGTATACATTTTATATTTTTCCACTGGTTTTGTTTTAGTATATTTGTTATGTTTGCTACTGTTTAATAACTGTTTAATAAGTAACTTACAGGAAATGACTTTGGTCACGTTTAGGTTGTTGTAAAAGCCTATATAAAATATTAACTGATTGATTCATTAGTTTACCCTCTTGCTTACAGTTCAATTCTTTATACAATTCATACCCTTTTGTTTATATCTAGGGTACTACTCTAAATACCCACCCACGTTTTGAGTTTGACGGTTAAAAAACTACTGTACATCTACGGGTCGACCCGAGGGACAGTATTACTTTAACGGAAGTCCCAAAACAAACCAGAAAGTTCCCGATTAAACTTGCGTTGCAGCCCTTCATTTTGTGGAGAAGCGTTGTCTCAGCCAGTCGAATCGGTAGAGAAAAGCTTATATTTTTGTCGGATAACATGAGGCATTCACGAACCGCAATTGTGGGCGAATCTTCAGCCGAGACTCATGTCGGTGAAGGTGCGGTTGACCGAAAAGGAACTATCCGGTGGCGGGTGGTCGCTGTGTCCGTCCTGAGCGCAACCTTGTTTACAGCTGCTGTCGGCTGTATCTCTGCTTTCATATATCCCATAATAAAAGGTAAACATTATATGTAAATATGTGTTTGACCCATGAAAACATTATGTAAGGTTCATGAGAACTTGTTAAAAATGTTTAACAAGTTCTGTAGGGGGTGCAAGTGCGTTGTTCCAATACTGGTAAAATGTTTTATTTTCTGTACCGTAGAAATTTGTTCAAAACATGTTCAAAAACAACGAACAATTTAATCCTTTGAACACGTGATTTATCGATCAATTACAAACAGTTTGTCAAGGTGAAGACAAACATAGCGCAGAGCTTTGCTGTTCTTAGGAGCCGTACACTCCTAACACTGGGCACTGTTGTTTAAGGTCACCTAGTGTAGTCAGAAAAGACCTAAAGAAAAAACTAAAATGTTTGATCCAATGTAGGCTGCAATGTCCTAGTTGCCCTTGATTTTTGTAAATGCAGCCAAGTCAGTAAAATGTTAAAACATTGAGGCGAGATCATTGAGTGACAGGTACAGTACTTCATTTTCCTTTGGACCTCTATTCATATGGATATACAGTATGTCTAGGAGCCAGCAACACACTAACAATTCATTTTATTGTTTGAACTTGGGCATAAACATCAAATTATCTCAGTGTGACCCAGCTGTTGATACTGACTGATGGGCACTGTTTCAGAGCTGCGGGCAGGGACAGTCAGAGGATTGGATGGGACTGAAGTAAGGATCCTGGGTGAGTGTGGATAGAGTAAGCCTGGTGATGGTAATGTATGACTCCTCAGAATAACCAGTTATTACAGTTTGGTCATTTTATTTATTGTATTCTGAATTGCATTATCTTCTTTTCTGCTAATATTCTATTATTTGGTTGGGAAGGTTTCTGGAGCATCCTGGTGCTGTCAGTATTAGCTGGTTCTATCTGCGCCGTCTTCTCATGGATTATCACCTACCTGGACTCTTATCAACTGGGTAAGGTGCCTCCAACACTGCTGGCACTGTTTCACTTCAGGTAATAAACTGATCTATGGTATAAAGTTTACAAATGTCAAACAGGCGTTGATGCTAACATCCTGTATTTGATGCTAACATTTGTTTTCTTTTAGTGATGCAATTGACAAAAATGTGCACATCGGCTATGCTGTCGCTATCGGCAATGGTTTCATGGCGATGCTGACTGTCATCTGGAGCCTCACATGACAGTGACAGCAAGAAGAGTATATGAAAGAATTCTGCCTTTCTTTATGAAAAATGTATGTTCTTGTGAGTTAACTTTCTTTTTTTTCTTTTTTTAAATACCCTATGCTTGTACAGTAACCTGTGTACATTTTATGATTAATCTACAGCTACCCTGTGATTATTCAGATCAAAACTGTAATTGATTGACAACCATAGTTTGAAAACCTCAACATTTGGTATTTGTTTTGGCTTGAAGAGTTTTATAGACAGCATAAGTGTAAATGGGGAAAAAAAACAAACAAAAAA